AAAAAAAAAAAAAAAGAAAAACACTGGCCTAAGTCCTCAAATCTCCTACCTTTTTTCAGTTGCTATCATTTTCCAATAACCTTTATATCGAACATGGAAATCCTAGGAGGATCCCCAGAGAATCTGCTGTATCTCCGCAGTATAAAGTAAGCCAATGTCCTTTTGGTAATCAGGATCAATCACTCCAGCCAGTAGATCATCTACTGTTTTTGCTTTTTGCTTCAGTGATATACAGAACCCAAAATGGCCTAGTATTAGTGTCATTGTATAATTTAGTGGAACCATTGTTGCCTCTCCTAATGAAAGAACTCTCCCCTCAAGGATAAAGTCTCTAAATCAGCAGCAAAATTTCCAAATAAGGAAGGAAAAATTCTCAGAATGGGTTACCAGGTGATATAAGAGAAGCCACTCTCACTACCACACCTATATTCCAATGTATTTTGGCTATAGAAAAGAAAGTAACATACAGTAGTCTCAGATTCAAAACATATCAGGTAAGACAGAATCTCATTTTTCCAGGGTATCATCTCCCAGCTGGGACCATAACTGAATCTTCAATAAGCCAGGTGCTTCCAAGTAATGGTGTAGGTGGTGAGCCCAGTTAATTCTATTGGCGTGGGTCCATGGATGCACTACCTTTGCAGTGAAATGAGTTCCTGCTCAGATGCAATGTTGAGTGGAATGCACTGATAGTAGATAAAGCATTTTGTGAGTTCATAGTGGTGCTGGCAGAAGCATTATAAGCAATAAAGGCCAATCTATTTCCAGAATATGCAGTTATTCCAATGAAGATGAATCTTTGCTCCATCATAGAAGTCCAATGTAATCAACCTGCCACCTAGATGGCTGGTTCATTGCCCCTGGGAGTGATGCCACGTCAGTTGTTTTCTGCTCTTGACAGATTAAACCCTTGGCAGTAGTGTCAGCAAGGTAAGCCTTGGTAAGGTGGAGTCTACATTGGTGAGCTTATGCAGAACCTCTATCCCTACCACTATGGCCACGTTGCTCATGGGTCCTTTGAGCATGTGCCTGGGTTTCTGGGTGGAGACACTGACTGATATCCACAGAGTAAGCCATTCTGTCCATCTGACTACTGAGTCTCTTCTACAGTGTATACTTTGAATACGTCAGACGTACTCAGACAGGAGGCACATATTTTCACAGTTCATGCACATTCAGCAAAGGCCATCCATAGATCTCTTTTCTGTATGTCCTTGTCACCTATTGGCCAATCCCATTCCTTCCAAGTCACTGACCATCTAGACAAACCATTAGTGACTGGTCATTCTGGTCATCTCTCAATCCAGACATGCTAGACAAACAAATACACTGTTGGGATCCTGCCCTTTACTACTGTTCTCTAGACCCCTGAAAGCACTGGGAAAGCCACCTGTGCTGGAAAAGTTGCATTCTACAAAGGCTTCCATGCTGCAGGAGACTGTCAGGGGAGTACCCTAGAACCAGGAAGAACACCTTTTCCTATTTGGATGTCTCTGTAGCATTCTCCATTGACAGAATCTAACACTGTGATAGCTAGTGAAAGAAGACTATTTAAAGAGGCCAGATCCATCTTTGCAAAGCAGGCATAAAGAGTGAATTTGGAACTGAGAGGTAATAAATCAATTGCAGTACAGGTATTACATAGCAGGCCTAGCTTAGGTCAGACATTCACCTTTCTGTCAATCACTGCGGTTATTGAACCTCCCACTTGGACCTCATTAGATTGAGGCTAGGGAGAGAGGGGGAGTAATTTTCCAAAATAAGGGAAAAGAACATTCTTCTCAAAAGAAGAGAGTTGAAGGCTAACAGAGATGTTTCTTTCCCACATTTCACCCTTTTGGTGCTTATTGCCAAGTATGAACACACATTCACACACAAACACATACCTTTTTCTTTCTATCTACAGTTCCTAACATAAATCACCAATTCCATATGCAACTGAAAATGTACTCAATCCCTCCCCAGTGGGAGGAGAAAATTCAAAGCTACATCTAGCTACTGAATCCAGCCCCAAGTTCAGGATGTTTGAATGCTGTCAAGCCTGATCAGGTCCAATGTGACTAAATGATGAAAAACAAATTTATCCTCAATGCACAAATATACAATAAAGGAGGAAGAAATGGAATAACCAAAACTAAACAAAGAAGGCAAAAAAGAAAAGCAGTATACAATGGCTGTGAGCATATACCTTGCCCTGCTGGACAGGAGTAATAAGAATATGAAAGATTTCATTTATCCAGTACAGAATCAAGGTCAGCCAATCAAAGGGCCAAGATTTCCCTTGTCTCAAAGAGCCTGCCTTAGAGGTGTGGTGAGAAGGAATCTCCACTGACTATCTTGACGTCCTAATTCATCTTTCAACCAGGAATGGAGACTGCAACATTGCCTTGAAGATAGCACAGCAGTAGGTACTTTTGCCAGGTTGAGAAATTCCTGGCAATACCTTAATACTTTACTTGGCTGCCTGTCAATGACATTTGGGGAAATCCATTAGCAGAAATCTCACTGTGATATGAGCTTTGAATATGGACCCTGCCCTTCCTGTTCCTATCTTTTGGAAACTAGCTCCGCAACTCCATCAATCTCCCTAGATCTCAGTTCAATGGCATTAGTCATAGACTCTCTCTGTGGGGTAATGCGATAGTGTATGAACAATCAATAAGTCTATTTTTAATGGAGAATGGTGCTCGTAGCAAAACCAAATCCAATTCCAGAATGAAGAACATTGCAATGAGGCAAACTAGTGAATGGTGCATGACAAAATGGAGCCCAAGGTGACTGACATGCTTGATTCCAGGTATCTTGCCTCATAGGGACCTTAAGTTTGGTCACCTTTGCAGTAAAATTGACTTTTTAGCAGTGGCAGTAGAGAACGGAAAGAGCATTTCCCCTGCCATTTTCTTGGTAACCTAGGCCATGTAACTCTCTAGCTTGAAACTCCACTTCCCCTAACACGCAGGAGAAAATCCAAACTCCTTTCACAGTCTACAACGCACTGAAGTTTCAAGGCTTAATTTTTCTTCAACTTCAGCTCATGCCACTCTTCCCTTGCTGTGTTTCCTGATGCCCTAGCCATGCTAACACCCTAGCACAGGAAGCACTTGATATACCCTGTCCCCTTCTGCTTGGAACGCTCTATAAACACTCTTCCCTTCCCACTCCCATTTCTTTTAGACATACGCTGAAATGTTACCTCCTAAATGCCCTCTTCCCACTACCACACAGACACCACTTTCCAGTCCAACTTCTTGTTCATTTTCTTCCTTACAGCCAACAATTATTTAATATTCCTTGAAAAATATATTAGTATAGAAAATGAAACAAATTCTGCCATTCTATAGAGTTTTAGAATGCTCCTATATTTTTCTGAACACTCGGAGTGGGAAGTTAACGACCAAGCAGCAGCCCTGGAGACCCTGTAAATAATTAAACACTCTAGGGGTTGCGTACTTCCAAATCCCCTAGAGTTCAGTCCATGCCTTGTTCCAAAGGGGCAGTGGCACTTTCGTTTTTCATTCTCGATTCACACGAAAGGCCAGGCATCCATAACTCCCCTCTCGCGTGGCCTTTAATTAAATTCAAGCTGCCATTGACCTCAACCAGGGACAGAAGCTTCTAGCTGCAGCCGAGTTCCAGAGCAGAGGCCCGGCGCCGGCCTGGGAAGGGGTCCGGGGGCGCCGCAGGGGACCGCGCGGCGTGGCGCTCCCAGGACCGTTATGCGAGTCTCGCCCCCGCGGGCAGCGCCTCCCAGTCCCCCACCCTCGAGGGGTACCGAGGGCGTCCGAGAGCCCCCCAGCGCGGCTGTTCAAACTGGCGAGGGTGAGCCCCTCGGGATCCCCGGGTCATTCCAGGGCTGCCTGGTCGCAGTCCTCAGACGCCCAGCTTCCCCGGGCGCGCCCCCTCCACGCAGCTGACGCTTCTCCGGCCCAGCAGCCGCCCTCTCCCACCTTCCACCTCTCCGGATCCTCCTACCCGGCGTAAAAGCCTCTGAAGTGCCTCCCGGCTCCCGAGGGACAGTCCCCACAGCAGACCCAAGTCGAGTAGGCAATAGCGAAAGGTCAGACAACAGAAGCGCCATAGCTCTCTGCGTTATCCATCCACCCATCTATATAGTTCACACGTTGTCCACCCATCTACCCATCCCTCCTTCCATCCCTCATCTCTTATCCCGTATTGCTCTAAGACTAGGATTCGAATTCCTTAGTGCGAATTTGATCGCGACATCGCAAAAAAGCATATTTATTTTGACTGAAAAAGCCAAGTAGGACTTTTTCAGACAGAAAATAAGTCTCGTTGAGTGGTTAGATACTAGATTTATCAATTATTGCATATTATATGGGGGCCCTTTGTAGAAATTGAATGAGTTAGGAAGAAAGTTCTAAGATTTCGACAAAAAAATTTAAAAGTCCATTTATAGTCTGTACGCCAGAAATTACGTACACATGTGTAGATAACAACCAGAAATTTATAAGGGACACACGGTTTTTTCTGAACCTTTTTCAGCGGTTCTCAAGCAAAAAGAACCCCACAACTCGAGCCCAACGCCGTAAAGGGCACCACGCCTGCCTTTTCGTGGCGACTGAGCCAAGCCGGTGGGCAAGAAAGGCCTGACTTAGGGACCAGGAAGAGAGAAAGAGAGAAGGAAGGGTGGGGGCAGGGCGGGGGAAAGTGACGCGACCAGTGAAAGCCGGAAGTGAGTGGCTAGCGCGGCACCCCGGGGCGCCCTGTCCGGTGGCGCTCTAGCCCCCGCGCGCTTTCTCTCTATGATCCCGGCGTCTTGTCTATTTATTGTCGCCGGGAAGCCGCGGCCGCCTCGTACCCGGAACAACAAAGCTCGAAAGACGGAGCCCGAGACTCGGGGGCTCCTAGCAACGGGCCGGGGCGGGAATTCCATGGAGACTGGGGAGCGCGCCCGCCTCATCATCATCCTCTTCCTCCAGCTTATCCTTCGTTTCCGACGCAACCGGCAGCAGCGCTGCCGCCGCGTCCTCTGCCACCGCCCCCTCTTCCCACGGTAACCTCGTAGGCGACCCTGGGCGGGGGGAGCGCTGGCGACCGAGCGGCCTGAGTGCCGGGTGCGAGCTTCTGGGCGCGGGGCGGGCGTGTGCGGAGCCGGGGTGTGCTGGGGCGGGGAGTGCGGGGGCGGGTGCGGGGGGACCGGAGCTGAGGTGCGGGAGACTGGTCCGGTGGCCCAGGGACGGTTCGGTTCTTAGGAGGACCTGGTGATGTTTGGTGATCTCACTCCGGATAACGGGGTGGGGGTGGGGCGTCTGTGCCTGGGAGAATTATCCAGCCTGGTGTAGGGTAGGAAAAGATGGGTTAGCCTGCGTGTAAACCACCACTTAAATACCGGGCAGGGAGAGTCCCCATTTGTCTATGGAGCCATCACCCGGGCAAGAGGACCGTGCGGAGGTGCTAGGGGGGCTGTTGCTTCCAGAAAACTTAAGCGGCCTCTGCCGCGGCAGGAGGGCTCCCAAACAGCGGCTTCCTTGGCTCCTAGTTCTGGAAATGCCAGCAGCTCTATTCTGTTTTTTTTTTTTTTTTTTTTCCTGACTAAAATTAGGTTTGATGAAGAAGGATCTGGAAGCTAGAAAATGAATTGTGGGTAGAGCTAAGCAGGGATGAGAGTCGGGATAAGTGCTTAAAAATAGCTAATAAGAGCCCTAAAAGTAAATCTGATAGCGAATGACTTTTTAAAAATTCTGCTGCCGAAACGTGCATCTGCACGCTCTGTCAGTGTGCTCATTGCATTAAAAACCTGCAGCCAGCCTACATCTGTGAGCCCTCTGCTGCATCTGTCACCTGCAGTTCCAAAGCAATGCTGGGAGTAACTAGCATGAGCTTCTGTATTTAGGTTTTAGACAGTAACAGTGCTTTAAAAGGGTGGCTTGAATCTTGTACCAAGGAACAAGCTTGGTATGATTGTGTGTGTGAGAACAAGCGATGACAATTTCTCCCCAAAGAAATTTAAGAAGGTTCAGCCATCCTGGCATAATTTTGCAGTCTCTTTCAAAGTTTGAGAAAATGGCAGTTCATTGAAATTGAGAAGTGACATTTGGCACTGTTTGGTTGAAAGAATTATTCATAGTTTGATACGCCCATCAGTTCATGCTATCTTTTTACCTTTTATCACAAACTAGTTAATGGTTTTATGCTTTCCAAAATTTTAGGTTAGTAAAGAAGGTTTTCGGGTGGCACACTGAAAAGGCCACATATATATATTGCAGTAACATTGTTTTTGTGACTAGTGGGAACAAAGCTCTTTATATAAAGTTGAAGATTAAAGATGAAAAAATTGCTAAATCATACATGCAATTATGTCAGCCACAGCTTTTGTTTGTCCCCCATCTCTTCTGCTAAGCCTGGCTTCTCCTAAACAAATAGGTGTCATCCTTATTCCTAGACGCTTCTTTTCATACTCTCTGCCCTCAAAATCAGTATGAAAAACGAGTGACTTGCTCCCCTGTACCCTGTATTGGTTGCCTGATGGCTGAATGAGGGCCATCCAGGATACAGTTTTAAGCTTTTAGTGTGGAATCAAGAGCCAGTGTCTCTTGTTAAAGGAATTTCATGTGTGTCTAAACAGGTGGGCAATTTCCTTTAACAAGGATTGGAAGTGTGAACATTGGGAAACTATAATTGCCAATTATGCTCTAAGAAGAGAAAGGCAATAGCATTGTCTTTAATGAATTGAGGGCTGTTGCTTAATTTTTCATGTAGTTGTTCTTCTGTGAAGGATGTGGTGAGATGACCACACTTATGGCTGTGGATATTGAGTCAGACTTTCAAGAAGTGAGTCTTAGTGAACACCCTCACTGGCTGTTATCCCTATGTCTTCCCTGTTTGAGTGGGGATCAAGCCCTAGTACCCCCTTTATTAACAATACATTTTTTTTCTTGGCTTGTTCTTTGCCCTGACACATTCAATGCTTGGTGTTGTCTTTTAGTTTCTCTCTCTATTTAATCATGTCCCACCCAAAAGTGATCTTTTATGCTGTTTATTTCTGTTTCTTACATGGTGTTTTCAACATATATCCATGGCCTATATATCCTTTTTTTTTTTTTTGGAGACAGTGTCTCACTCTGTTGCCCTGGCATTAGCAACCTCCAACTCCTGGGCTCACACAATCCTCTTGCCTCAGCTTCCCAAGTAGCTGGACTATAGGCGCCAGACACCAGGCCTAGCTATTTTTCTTTTTTAGTAGAGACAGAGTTTCCACCTCCTAAGTTCAAGCAGTCCACCTGCCTGGGCCTCCCAGAGCGCTAGGATTACAGGTGTGAGCCACCCTACGCAGCCTATATACTTGTCATTAATATTACATTGTTGCCTTTTTCTTCTGTATCCCTCTCCTTTATTTGGAGAATTGGAGTGGTCATGTCACATATTCTGTATTCATTCTGAATAACTGTTAGTTGTGAATAAACAGATAAGAGCTTGATGCTGAGAATCAAACTATTATATTGAGATAAGCCATATGAACATTTTTGGACTTTTCAGAACAAGACTTTAGAAGGCCAGGTGGTAATGCTGTAATTATAAACAGTTTTTTTAGAGGTAAAATAGTATTGTAGAGCCTCTTTTATGTTTTAAATTGAATCTTAGAGTTTTGTAATTCTTGTTCTTAAAGAATTCTTAAAATCAATCTTGATTGAAATTGCATTCTGCCAAATTTGAGAGAAGTGTGTTAAGTGATTTCCACAAATTTTTTTCATGTGGAAAATTGACACATCAAAATTTTTGTTGGTTAAATGTGCAGAATTTTCTGTAAAACAAAACAAATATGCATGAAACATACAGCTGAATTTTTTGGAGTGTCGTGTCTTATTATGAATGTAGAACGTTATTTAAAAAGCAGATACTATATAATCTAGTTGAATGAGTTGAAGACTTTTTAGGTAAAGAAGGCCAGTACTAATGTAGGTAATTGATTTCCTTCTATTGCATCATAGGCCATGTGATGCAATTATTGATAAGAATATAAAGTTTAAATCAATTTTAGAAGAAATTGTAGTGGAATATTTCCATGATGCCTCTGAGTCAAAACTTGTGGCTCTTTGCAAATTTAGTTGTATTGTGATATTGAATTAATATGGATTTTCTGAAATTTATATCCATTTTGCACCTTCTCGTGTCTGGTGCTGTGTCGGAGGTGCAAAGCTAGATGAAAGAGGTGTTCAACTTTCAAATGCTCTTTGTGCACTTACAGATAGCAGAGAAATGACATGTGTGGGTAACAAAACATGGCAGACATAAACTTGAATTTTAGATCCTTTGTTACATACTGTCTGCTCCTGTACTTACTGGTGTGTGGATTTCATCATGCCTGCTAAATTAGACATTTCTTGAGGATCAGGAGTATGAGTTGCCATCCTATTATATGTTCATCCTGTATGTGTATATTTAAGATTAGCTGGTTTATTAGAAGGAGGTGATTGTTTATTTTTATTTCCCTCCAAGGACTTATCTAGTAGATGAGGGGAACTTTTTGGTATGAATTCTTGATGCCGAAAATTTCAACTTTTTATCCTGGCTGCAGTAATGCAGGTTAAAAGCAGCAATACTTGGGAGTTTGTTTTAATCAGTTCAAACAATAAAAATAATGGTTGACTGCCAAGATACAGTATTTGTTCTTGTTGTATGACTACCACTTTGGGACGTTTCAGAAGGGTGAGAAACTGTATACATATCTGAGGTTTTTCCAGGCCACATAGACAAATTTAATTTTTATATTATTAGCCAATCAATCTTTTCTTTAGAAGAGAGATGGAGAGTATATGTTTGTATAATTGTTAAAAGGCAGCAGTAGTCTAGAAGTATGTCATTAGTAGAAAGGAATCAAATCACATCAGAAATTTTATTCATCTGGTCTGATCTGTGACTAAAGGATGATAAAGTTGGGGATTTAGTTTAAATGTCTGAATTTGTGCTGGTAAACATGCTGCTGGGGGTCTCATTAAATGTTAAAGAACACACTAAGGTAATTTCTGGGGCAGTTCAGATCTGCCTTCATGTAGGGGTCAATAAAGAAACCATTTGGCTGTTGATTACTTTCACAAGGCAGTATTCATCTTTTGAGAAAGAAGACTGAAAGTCAGATGTATGTTAAAGGCAGAGTTGTCTCAGGACATGAGTGGATGGCGTTAGTATTGAATCATGCTTAGCGTGATATAGACAGGTGTCTATATATTGGCCCATGGTATGTTTTTGTGAGGATTTAACAACATCTTAAAAGGAGTAAAAACATTATTTCCATTAATTAAATGATTTCAAAGAATCAACTGTTAACCTTCCTCCTTCTGATACAAGTATTTTCATTGTGAAATGGAACAGTTTTGATCAGAATCATTTACATTTTCTTGGGATTAGGGTTGGTATAACACTTAAAGTTTGGACTTTGGAGACAGGATACCTGTGTTCAGCATCATGGCTGTACTTTCTTTTCAGGGGTAAAGGCTTGAGTAAGTTTTTCCACTGGCCTGAGTCCAGTTTCCTCATCTGCATTATGAAGTTAATAATAGCAGGTGTTACCAGCCAGTGGTACCTTTAAGTAGTATATTAAAGGGAAACCGTCAGAGCACTTGAATGCTTTGTTTCTTTTGAGACTTGCTATTAAAGCATTGAAATTCTTTCTTTGTGATCACTGACTATTGGACTCTTTACTGTTAGGTTTTGAGAGGAGGAAGTGCTTTTTTAAAATTCTGAATTGTCACACAGGCATCTGGTTATCACTTATGGCAGATGGGCTAAGTAAAGAGAGACATCTCTGTTTCTTAGAAAAGGGAAGCCAACAAAGCCTGCCCTGGCACCGTGTTGCAGCTATTGAAATGTTATTTCCCTGTGGACTTGCCTGCTTGTTTAGCAGTATGATACTTCTGAATAAAGGAATAGACCCCAATGGTTTCATTTAACAGAATTAGTCTTTTGTTGGAAGATACTTTTTTTTTAAACTTAATTGATAGTAAACTTGAAACTTGTTAGTGTCAGTGTCAAGCCATTTAACTTGAGTATTCTGTG